TATTTGAAAACGGAGGAAATATATTATTCCTTGGTTAATGTAAAAATACATATAAATATGAATATATGATGACTTGTTTTGTCCCTAGAAAAGGCTGATAAACATTTGAATACACACAAGTGGAACAAGACTTGTAGACTTGTAGTCACGTACTTATGTGTGTTAATCTCTGCTTATATACAAACTTTGACTGACGTTATTTTATTTAACCCCAAAGATAATATCTACTTATAATATACCTAAAATTATAAACAAAAGCTCTGACTCATACTCTTTGGCTACGTATACACGCGTACGTATACTTTTCAAATATACTATTCACATGTTCACTTGGTAATCTCATTTAATGTATAATAATCATGCAAGCTGTATGTTAACGATCAATGGCAATTCCTTGTAAATACCCAACACGTTTATGGGTAATTTCGTCATGGCATCCTTGTATAAATACCCCCTTAAATTGTTCTTTTGACATGCAGTCCCTAAAACCAAACAAGAACATACGAAAGAAAAAGAAAAGCTTTCTGCAAAACAAAATGTCCGCAAAGATTTCGATTTTCCAATCTCTAGTCTTTCTATTCTACCGGTTTGTCCTCCGGCGATACCGGAACCCTAAACCAAAATACCAAAAATGCCCTTCTTCTCTCCTCCAATCCGACCTATCACGCGACACATTGATCTTCAACGTAGAAGGAGCTCTTCTTAAATCAAACTCTCTCTTTCCTTACTTCATGCTAGTAGCATTCGAAGCCGGAGGTGTAATAAGGTCATTTCTCCTCTTCATTCTCTATCCATTGATAAGTTTGATGAGCCACGAGATGGCTCTCAAGGTGATGGTAATGGTGAGTTTCTTTGGGGTCAAAAAACAAGGTTTTAGAGCGGGAAGAGCGGTTTTGCCTAAATATTTTCTAGAAGACGTCGGTCTAGAAATGTTCCAAGTGTTGAAGAGAGGAGGGAAGAGAATAGGAGTGAGTGATGTTCTTCCTCAAGTTATGATTGAAGGATTCTTGAGAGAGTACTTGGGGATTGAAGTTGTGGTTGGGAGAGAAATGAAGGTCGTTGGTGGTTATTACTTAGGGATCATGAAAGATAAGACCAGCCATGATCTTGTCTTTGATGAGTTGGTTCGTAAAGAGAGACTAAACAATGGTCGTGTTATTGGCATCACTTCATTCAACACTTCTCTTCATCGATATCTATTCTCTCAGTTTTGCCAGGTCAGTATATCCTCATTATTATTTTGTTTGCGTTTACGTTTACGTTTACGGATTTTAATTGATGTGTGGAAAAAAACAAAAATGTTCCAACTAATTAAGAAAACGTAAGCATATCTTTTTATGGTATCTATATTAATGTTGTAGTATGCCTTTTAATATATCACTAAGAGACATAGTACAGGAACAGATATAATGGTGACGGTGAGACAGCTTGACTGATTGCGAATATGAAATATAAACAACGTAAAAAGGCAAACAAAAATATAACAAATCAAGGCCTATATCATTAAATACGAATAAGAAACGACGACATAAACTGTATACATAGTTATTACTTATTAGACATGACAGTGAAGTAAATCTTGTGGTTTTGAATTTCCAATATCTTATAGTTGATCGTGTTAGGTAATTTCATTCATTGTTTTCATGTTATTTACTATTTATGCTGATTTTTTTATTTGTCTTTTTATATTTAAAATAAAAACAGGAGATTTATTTCGTGAAGAAATCCGACAAGCGAAACTGGCAAACCCTACCACGAAACCAATACCCTAAACCATTGATTTTCCACGATGGTCGTCTTGCAATCAAACCAACCCTAATGAACACTTTGGTCTTGTTCATGTGGGGTCCGTTCGCAGTCGTAGCCGCAGCAGCCAGACTCTTCGTCTCTCTATGCATCCCTTACACATTCGCGATCCCAATCCTATCTCTCTTCGGTTGCCGACTCACCGTGGATTATCAAAATGTTTCTTCTCATCGAAAGTCATCAAACTCAAGTAAACGCAAAGGGATTCTCTTTGTGTGTAACCATAGGACATTATTGGACCCTCTTTACGTTGGTTTTGCGCTAAAAGAAAAAAACATCAAAACCGTAACGTATAGTTTGAGTAGAGTGTCGGAGATTTTGGCTCCGATAAAGACCGTTAGACTGACCCGTGATCGGGTCAGCGATGGTCAAGCCATGGATAAATTGTTGACCGAAGGAGATCTTGTTGTTTGTCCAGAAGGAACCACTTGTAGAGAGCCTTACATGCTTAGGTTTAGTCCTTTGTTCACCGAGATTAGTGACGTCATCGTTCCCGTGGCTGTGACGTCAGACGTGACCTTCTTCTATGGAACAACGGCAAGTGGTCTTAAGGCATTTGATCCGCTTTTTTTTCTCATGGATCCTTATCCTTCCTACACCGTCCGATTTCTCGATGCTGTCTCTGGTGCCACGTGTGAAGATCCTGATGGGAAGTTGAAGTTTGAAGTGGCTAATCATGTTCAGAGCGAGATTGGGAAGGCGTTGGATTACGAGTGCACCAATCTCACCAGAAAAGACAAGTATTTGATCTTGGCCGGTAATAATGGCGTAGTTAAGAAAAATTAAATTTGTAAAATTCGTTTTTAGGATTTGAGTTGTTAAAATTTCGGTGGGTGTAAGTAACCAATGGTTTATTTCATTTGTTTGTTATGATGTTTACATCAATGTAACTATCTCTTCCTCTCTCTTTTTTTCTTCTAATAATGTACACATCTTTATATGGGTTAATATCATCCAATATCTTTGTTATTTTGCCTTTGCCGTTCTAGTACATAAATAAAACTATAGTCCACAAAAAAAAAATAAAAAATCTACAAATGATATGATTTTTTATTATTTAGTAACCATCTTTATTAACTGGGACACGTCGAGAGCTATTATTAAATTTGAATTGTTTTGGTTGGCACATGCGTCATAAATGTTTTAACGGTCTAGCCCAAATAATGTAATGAAACTAGTTTTAAATCATGTCATACAAAACATAAATGGCATTCTTTATATAAAATCCATGGTTGGTATAACTGTATCTATAGTTTATGTTTTCTTTGTCAATTGGAATTCTGATTTTAATATATATAAACATGGTATATTCGTTGGTCAAAATAGCCACATATAAACTATATCTTAAAACGTAATGTTATTTGTTTTAACATTTATTAGGGCCTAGTGGTCTAGAAACCATGTGAGCATGTGAAGTGAAATTAAGAAATTCGTAATATACCGCCGATAAACTTTACTATTCAATTTGTTGTTTATATTGATTCCGGTTTCAAACTTCAAAATAAAAATAAAAATATTGATTCCGGTTCTAGTGTTAGTTTTAATTTTTATCAACTAAAAGAAAAACAATTCTAGATTGTTTACAATAATAATTTAAATAAGCGGTCTAGTAATTATTTGATATATATGTATATTAATTGAAAAATTATGTATCAAAATGCATACATCTTTTCGAAACAAAAATCGAATAACAAAAAAAAACTCAGAGAAACATGGTGTGAATAAAAACCCAAAAACTCACAATTATTTGAAAATTTAATCGGTAGATCTATATAAATATTAAGATATGTTAGTTATATGTCATTTTCTCTAAAGGAAGAAATAAATAAGTACAGCAGAAATCATTTTGTCTAAGTATTTATGGAATATACAGAATTAGATATGTATGTGGTGGCCATCACTGTCGCATTTTGTAACAACTGTGTTGGAAGAGCAAAAATGGTTTCATATTAAAAAATACAAAAACTTGATTTGGTCTTTCTAAAAAAAAAACTAAAAAGAAACTTGACTTGATCAAAAAAATTATGTTCTCTAAAGGAAGAAATGAATAAGTACAGCAGAAATCATTTTGTCTAAGTATTTATGGAATATACAGAAGTAGATATGTATGTGGTGGCCATCACTGTCGCATTTTGTAACAACTGTGTTGGAAGAGCAAAAACTTGATTTGGTTTCATATTAAAAAATACAAAAACTTGATTTGGTCCACACAAAAAAAAAGGAAAGGAAACAGAATTTTGACAAGACACGTGTCTTCTCTCGTTAATGGGCTGGGTCGTAATAAGAAAGCTATCATTTAAGTCGATTGGCCCATTACATGGGTCCACCGTCTGCCATTTTTTAATTTGGTCGTTTAAATAAAAACTATTCTAAAATTAAGGGGCCATTCTAAAAATATGAGCGTATGTTTTCTTTATGGTCATTAATTTATAATTGTAAAAAAAGTATTAAGGGAAAGAAGTAATTTGTTAACTACTTGATCAAAGTCATTTCCTCCATATGTTGTAGTATAATTTCATGTCAATATTAATCTCATTTGTAAATTGTAGTATAATTTGACCATAAAGAAGTGACTTTGATCAACTACTTGATTTAAATTGTAGTATAATTTAATGTCAATATTAATAATATTTATAATCTACGGAAAAAAAAAATTCGACACTTTTTTACGGTCACTACAAAAAAAAAATGTCCACGAAAAATAACACTATTATCAACAAAATCTATTGAACCTATTGTTGTCAAAAAGAAAAAAAAAGTTATCGGATTATTTTTCTTTTTTTTTAACGACACAATATAATCGAATTCAAAAAATAATAGTATGTCGAAATAAATTGTTAATCACTCGATATAATCTCAATTCGTACTCATTGATTTCTGATACTTTGTTTTTGTCAAAACTTAAGTTAATGATTAATTAGATTTTAATGGACAAAATCCTAGCTATAACGTGAGTTAAAATCATCAGGTTAATATGCTAACTAACCAAAAACAATTAATAATTATATTACTAACCAAAAATAGTATATGTGGCATAAGGTTCTCC